CAGCAGGAACTGCAGATGAGGTCAACAACCAAAGTAATTTGATCTGTTGTGATATCTTATGTTTGATTTCTCCTTGATTAGTGCATGTATGCCAAGATATATTGCTTCCTTTTCACCAGGAGGGAGATAACCTCTCATAGGAGATAATATCTGACCAGAAATTGCTAGACGCAGAGGAGAAAATGACTGAGATAGTTCAATGAAGATATCTGAGATTTCAACCAAAAAAATTCAATTATTTTTAAAATGTAAATTTTATTAAAAGTTTTTTTAAAAAAATCAAGTGGATTGTTGTTAGTTTTGTGTTATATTGATACCTTCTTTCTATTTCATAACCTTTTCTAAATATTTCCTGGGGGAGAATGATGGTTTGGTTCACAACAGGCAAGTAAAAAAACCCAACACCTACTACTCCAATCACCTTAGAAGGCACCTTCTCACCTGAATAGTTTGGTTATGGGTATGGATTAGAGGACAGATCTACACAGGTGATGTACATTGTAGGCAACTGCTGCAGACCACCTTAGCAAAACAAGGAGATAGATGAACCCTTCTTCAGAGAGCTGAAAGATGCCTCATGATTGCAGGCCCTGGTACTTGTGAGAGTTGTAATCATGCTGATATCTGCCTGAAGGACAGCAAGGTGGTCTTAAAGGAGAGCCTCCTCAGAGCACAGGAAGAGTCCATTCCAGTGCAAAGTCAAGTAAGCGTGGCATAGGGCCACCTTGGATGAACAGGCAGCTCCTGGCCAAGCTCGAACACAAAAAAAGAAAAATACAGAAGACAGAAGAGGGGATAGAGCACTGAAGTGGGATGTAGAGACATTTCCTGAATATACAAGAATGGAGTTAGAAAAGCCAAAGTTCAGCTAGAGTTGAAACTACTGAGCAATGTAAAGGACAAGGAGGACTTTTTTAAGTATACTGGCAGCAAAAGGAAATGTAAGAAAAATGCGGGTCTGCTGCTCACTGGGCAGGGGAACTAGTGACCAGGGACATAGAAAAGACCAAGGTATTCAATGTCTTTTCTGCCTCAGTTTCCACTGAGGAATGTCATTGGAAGGATAGTTTATATCATCTTCAAAAGGTCATGGCAACCCTGGCACCTGATGACTGGAAAAAGGCAAACATCACATCTGTCTTTAGGAAGGTCAGGAAGGAGGATCCAAGGGACTATAGTGCAGTCAGTCTATCCTCAGTCCCCAGGAAGATTCCTTCTGGAAGACATCTTCACATATGAATAAAAAAAGGTGCTTGGGAACACCTAGCATGGAATTGTCATGGGAAAACCATGCCTGATTAATCTGATTGCACTCTCTGACAAGATGACTGGCTGTCGTTCCCTTTTATTCACCACTGGTGCATATGTGGAGTATTGTATCCAGTTTTTTTGCTTCCCAGTTCATGAAAGACATAAACATACTGGAATGAGGTCAGTGGAGGGCCACCAAGCAGGTTAGGGGACTGGATCACATGATGTACAGGCAAAAGTTGGGAAAAGAGGGTTTGTTCAGCCATCAAAAAGGAAGGGTAAGGAGTGATCTTACTGCTGCTAACAATTACCTAATGGGAAGGTGTAAAGCAGACAGAACCAGACATTTAGAAGTGCACAGGGATAGGATGAGAGGCAAAAGACACAAGTTGTTAACACAGAGAATTCCAGTTACACAAATGGAAAAAAAGGTTTTTACCATGACAGTGGTCTAACACTGGAACAGGTCATGGGCCACATGACTTAATTGTCATTGCTTTGATCAGGAGTTTGGACTAGTTGATCAAAGGCATGAACTAACTTTCTTCTAATGTTAAACGTGGTAATTATGATTGTCCCTTTTCAAAAAGTTAGGAGAAGCGCTGACAGAAACACATATAAAGCATATATGCCCACGTATCTTTGCTTTAGCAGCATTTAAAGGCCCCTGCATGAATGGTGCCAGTCTCAAACAAACACTTGTGGGTGACAGTCACAACTTTAGAAAGACTGCCTGCAGCAGGGGGGTTGGAACTAGATGATCTTTAAGGTCCCTTCCAACCCAAACCATTCTATGATTCTATGACTGTGGAGTTTGGACTAGTTGACCTTCCCATATGCATTTGAACCTAGATGGAGTAACATTATCCAAACAAGCTACCATAAAATATCAAACCATACCTTGCAGAGATAACTGCTCAGCACAAAGCAATTATAGGATATGCCTACACATTCATATGTAAGTGAAGGTAAGCCTGCCCGGATGCCGAGGTGACCTGAATTGATGTGACTATTAACACAACACCAAGTTTTAATTAATTCTGAATAATTCTGAATACAGTTCTGCTCCAGTTTCAAAACTTGGCCAAATATACTTATTTTGAGTATCTGTTCACAGTGCTGCATTGCACAGGTGAGAGAGCACTAATCAGAAGCAAGTGTACAGTGGATACAGGAAACTTGCAAATAGTGGTATAGCACAGGACATAGGAACAAAGATATGCAGTGTTGAAGATCCTGATCCTTTACAATATGTATTGGTTAGAAGAACTAGTTTTGCCAGTTTGAATATCAAAATTATTCTTTCATAAAACGGCTAAAAGTTCTCCAGCCTACTAAACACAGTACTGTGTTTTCTTATATTTTGAAAATAAACCAGTACCTTCTGTTTTACACTTATACTATGTTGTTTACTTCATGTAAACACAGAATGTCAGTAAATGCTAAGAAAAAGTGCAACTGTAAATACCCATTAAGAACATATCAAAAATTCACAGAAGGGAAAAATATCTCAATATCAAATGTTATGAGTATTTCTTAGTATATCAATAAGCAAGAATTATGATGAAACTTTTATTTCAACTTTGCCCTTTTCAATACTTAATCATTACACATGTGCATTAGATAGCAAATTAAAGTATTACTTACTGTGTTCTACCCTGCATCCTCATTATACTCTAAAACACCCTAAAACAGTTACAGTATGAAGCATGTGACCTACTTACTGCAGTTTGTCTGGCTGTTTCTCATCTCACAGAGAGAAGTTCCACAGGGATCAGGACAGGAAGTACATCTCTGGTCTCCCTCCTGACAGAGGGTTTGACCTGAGAAAAATACAAATTTACTATTCTAATTATTTACCAGATTAATAAAAATTACTGGAGTGTAGTTATAAGAAAATACAGAGTTTAATTACAATTAAATATTTCCTTTACAAAGTTGAATAAGTACCCTACAGCATTTCAAGTGCAGTAAGGAAGTGTTGTAAGGAAGAAAAGTGTACAGCACTGCCCAGATATCACTTTTCTTTACCCTTATGGTTATTATAAGAATCTATATCCCAGTTTCTGAAGGAGAGGTATGGATCTCTGAAAGCCATTTACCATGATGAAAAGTCATGTAAATCAGATTTCAAAGGGAACAATAGGTCCTAGCTGAAAGACAATACCCTCTGGGAATTATTCTTCAGTGCCATTCAGTTGATCTGCTTCTCATTTTATGATTGTTTTGGTGGACAATAAAAACCATCCTGAAGAAAGGTCACTAGAGCTGAAGCTTTAATGTCCTTCTTTGGCTGATTAAAACCCAAACAATAACAAAAAGAAACTGAAAAAGATGTCCTAAAGATGGAATTCAGAATAACTAAAATCAGCACTTCATCCAAAAGTTTCTGAGCACAGTACCTGGGTAGTTATTTTCTCTGACAAATCCTTGGACTTCTCTCTGTCTCGTAGTGGTGACAGCTCCTTTCCAAACCATTAAATTCTCCCTTCCATATGACTTTTGCAAAATCAGTCATTTAATTTACTATTCTGTACACAGAGACTGAACAATTTGGATTTTATCATCCTGTTTAAAACTGTTTGTTGCAATTATTTCTTAGTGTTCCTACTGCACTAGTGTCCACGAACATTAACCATCCAGTCATGGCATCCTTATATGGGGAAGACAGAAGATGCTGAAGAAACATCTTGTTTCAATGACCTTGACAACAACCTTGCCCCAAAGAACTGATGATATACACATATCTATTCACAACTATGTGGATTTACTTCCCTTCATACATGTTATATATTGAAGCAATGGAGGTACTTTCTTTTGCTCGAGCAATTGACTGTCTTATTTTACAGGTGCATCTGATTGCTAAATGGAACGTGAAAGGTCGGGAAAACCTTTTGGCTTCTAAACCTATCACAAATCTTTACATTTAAATTAATTTTTAAAGTTTGCTCCAACTGCCTCTTATCCCATAGTGGAAGAGTTTCTCAGCTCTTTAAAAATCCCTGTGCTACAGTGTAGATTCCTTTGATCCTAATACAGTCAATGCTGAATTTCCATAAACACACTCTACCCTGTCTTTTGAAGGGATCACAGAACAAGATGTGAGTAAATCTATATTAGCTTTCTATTGTCACAAAATGAATGACAGCCATAATGTTCATAGATGCCATATCTTAAATTTCCTTAAGGTATGTAGGGAAGGAGACCATTTTTCTCATTCAGATATAGATGAAGCAAGGGTCATGTGTAATCCCTTAATGTATATACTTGTACTATTACACAAGGTCCCTGTATCTTTATATAGGCAAGGGGCAAGTCACTACATCTTGACCTCAAATTTCTATGCTGATTTCACATATTTACTGGGTTGTAACAAACCAATATTCCAGATCACTTCAGCTCAAACTTCACTGCCTCTGCTAGGCATATCCAAATTGTTTGATTTGTAAAGCAGAGAAGTCTTTGTATTAAATGTATGTCCCATTACATTTTCTTCAGTTTCTGAAATCAACAACATACATAAGAAAGAATTCTGCCTTGCTTTTACACGGCCTTTGCAAGGAACTAAAGAGGAGTAATCCAAATGAAGTCCAAATTCTGCCTACATATTCTCATGCAAATTTAGGACAGACAAGATATGGTTGGATAAATGAAGAATTTTGCTCTACAAAATGTTGCAAAATATTAGAGTTTTTTGCACATTGAAGAATGAATAAGAACAACAAAGAAAACTTTTGTATTTAAAAGCTTTGCAGTTTAATGCTAAGCGGAAAATCTTTTAGTATATAGTGAGATCATTGACTACATAATTATGACCCTATCCTACTCCTCGGCATTTAGTATCCTTGAATCTGTATCTGTTCATTTTAGAAAAAAAAAAATAAATAAAAATAAAAAATTTAACCATTTCTTCCACGTTCAGAGAGGCAAAAAGCAGTGAAAACGAAACACATCACTGACTTCTAGCCCAGATCACGTATCAATATTTTCAGTGAAATTCTCTTTTACTAGTAATAAACAAATTTAAGAGGCTCAAGTTGGGTGAATTTTAAAAGGTTAAATGGTTGCTTACAGAATGCTCTAAATAGTATTGTACTTTTCAATTTACCCCATTCTCCTGATTCATCTCTTTTACATTCAAAATGATAGTTTCATTATCAGCAAGAGAAATAGAGGATCATGGAATTCATAGAATAAGACTGAGGTTGGGCATCAGTAAAGATGAAGAATAAAAACTGAGCATTTTGTGAGATTGCACAGTCAGAACCAAGGATAAAACTTGGTCCTTGGTTTTTAGATCGCCACAGTCAGAACTGGAAGAAATTCCATGCAAGGTCTGTTTGCAATGTCAACATTAATTGTGAAGAATAATAACGGTGATTTCTGTGTTTCAAATTCTCAGTTATTTTTTGAAATGGAGATGTTTAAATTGGAGTAGGAAGATCTCAAGAACTTAATATGAACAGAAGGAACTGAGGAGACACACTTATGAAAGGATTTCTTCTAGACTGGTTTCCTAAAGGAATGAGGCTTATATAATCACACTATATATTTATCTTATGATAACAGGTCTGTTCTACTCTAATAACTTTTGAATAAGTTGTTCTAGTACCACTACATCTGATAGCACTAGAGTTTTCTAAATAAATTCCTTTAGTTTCTTAAAAATAAGATTCATAATAGAAAGACATTAATAATTCTCGCATTGAAGGAAAGGCTGCAATCTGAATCTATACCTTACCAGAAAGAAAAGAATTACATGTGAAAAATGCCTTCAAATGCTGAAACCATCATAACATGACAATATCTCTTTCTAAGTGCCAAAATGTACCACAGGACACAAGTCTTTGGGAAACCATGTTCCAGGGTCAAGAAACTGCCTGGTTTCCTTTTCTTTCATACAGTCCATCATCAGACAGCTAATAAGTAGCTGTGAGAACTTACATTCTTATATATTTTCCCTTAGTCACACTAAACCATTATTTTACTTATGAAAACATTCTTCCTCTGACTCCCAAGTTCTGATGAAAAAAGCATTTTCATGAGAAAGTTTCTCCTCACACAACACCAATTCCTGTGATAGTAGCTTCTAATTGCTGCAATGTGAATATGTATTCATTTAATTCAAGTAACAGCGGATCATGTCAGATATCCAAATACTATGCTAAATGTCACCTCAGTTTCTTTAACTTTTTATATTGTTAAGGACTAATAAAACTCTGCTTACAGCTTCCTGTGTAGAAAGCAGACACCAACCAGCCTTAGCAAGTGTTATTTGAAAGGCAAAGAAAGTAAATTTGTCCAACAGCTTTAGCTAAAGGCATTTCAGAACCAAGCAGTCAACAGTAGGCTCAGTAAGAAGAGTAAAATTATGGATATCCTTACTTTCACTGCAGTTTTCTTCATCACTTCCATCTTTACAATCATTATCTCCATCACACTGGAATGCACTAGGAATGCACTGCCCATTTCTGCACTCCACCAGACCCTGACTATGACATGCTAGAGAGAAAAAAAATATGATGTTCTGATCAGCTTAGGTTAATGAAGGTCTTACTTATTTTTGAACATCATCTTGAAGTTATTTTAGGAGGAGCTGATAACACTGCTTAGCACTGAAAGTCACTAGGCATTTTTCATTATATGTAGGCTATATTTTCAGTAGCCTACAGCTGTGCTGATCTTTAACTACAGGAACTGAAACAATATATGTCAGGTAAGCAGCAAAAGCATATGTCTTATGAGAACTTTAATCACATTAAAACACATGCTAGTCCCCCAAGAGTTGATTTTGCAACCTCAGTAATATTCTAATATAGTAGTTTTGCAGATATACTGGAGCAGACAGAAGTCCAACTTTGGACAAGGTGTGATAGGTCCCATACAGACACATCAGAAAAGTGTCACAAACTCAGAATGCCTACAGTTTAAGAGGTTATACACATTCATTCATTACTTTTTAATGGGAACATTACAATTAACAAAAAGCTAATTCTGTAATTAACAAGAAGCTGAAACACAAGGCAATGCTTGTACTTCTCAACAATGGCAACAAATGTTCAATTTGCTGCAGCTGACTACCAGAGGTACATTTGTCAAGTGCAAACTTCTGGAATCCAATAAGCTTACAAGTAATAAGTAAGTATACTACTTATCTTACATTTTGGGTTTTATTTTTAAAGAAAGAAAAAACTAATTTAGAGATTAAAGAAACTTACAGCAATTGATTTCATCTGATTTGTCTATACAGTCATGGTCACCATCACATACCCAATCCGCTGTTATACATCTCCCATCTCCACACTGATGATGTGTCACTGGATTACAATCTAAATAAAATACAAATTTGAGGACAAAAAAAGGATTATAAATTGCCATTTGTATAATTTACATTATTGATCAATTGTTCTATGCCTATAAACTAATCATTTTTACTAAAAAGCCTTTTTGCATTAGTACATTAGAGTACAATAATCTACACCTGCAGATTTTTTTGTAGATGGTAGTTACATGTGTTCTGAATTCTATTGCCTATATAGAGACTGATGCAGTCATTCCTTCTGTCAAGTGCATGGTTGTTTCCATTTGCAAATAAACAAGTTTCTAAAATTTGTTAAGCAGAATAAAAGATCTTTTGACTTCTTATTTCATGGAATGATTTTCAGTTAGTGAACATTTTCAGTTGCCATCAGAGAAAATCATTTATCTTTTTAATAAGTGGGGGGAAAAAAAGTCTCTCAACTGCCATATTTGGCACTTAATCAGAAACTATATTTTTTGCATTCACTCAGAATTTTCCATAAGAATTATCTACAAAGAAACTACTCCCATCTTCATCTTATTCTTTCTACTCGAATGCGTCCACAAATAAAGAAAAGCATTCTATTGAGCAGTCTGAGTTTACACCAAAATGAATAGACACAGTCCGGCAAATCTGCTACGAAACCCATTTATAGCCTGTACAAAAAGTTAGATCTTAAATTTTATATAGAAAAAACTATCTCAAGATAGGAATGGTAGGAGTCAGATTAATGTTTAGAAAAGTCTTTAATGAAAGACAGTTTATGAAAAATGCCACAAAACAACCAAAACTGTCAAAAAAGTAGTGAAAGATCTTAGAGTATGTTTTATTTGGAGAGGAAACATAAAACAAATCTTGGAAAAAATTGTGCCTTGATTTTTAGCTTTGAAATTCTCTGTGCTTTTCCTTAGAAAAGCAAAAGAAAAAAGTAAGAAATAATATTTTAAATTTTAAAGAATTATTTTAGAGCATTTAATTTTTCTTCAGGTGTAGTACCAGGAGCAAAAGTTAGAAAAAATAAGGCTGTCAATATTTCCCAATATTTGCATGTGAAGATTATTGGGTTTTATGGCAAAACTTCTTTTTTTCCTATGAAAGTTAAGGTAGAAAGACAAACATAAGGAGGCAGAACATACAGAGTTGATTGAAAATAGAATTTGAAAGAAACAGAATTTGATCATCAAAACATAGAAGATCACTATGAAGCTTATGTAAAAACAGTTCAGCTATAAAACAGTTGGCGTCACCAGTGTGTAGCCTCTTATAGTTTGTTTTAATCTCAGTTAAATTCAGCCAAGTTAGCAAGAAAGCAACCATAACATCTTGAATTAGTTTAAAATAAATTGCAAATCAGAATATTTCTTCAAAATATCACTACCTTCAAAATTTGGATTAACCAGAAATCTCCTTTAAACCTTTTCAAATTGTATGTAGAATTTGTTAGCTGTTTTTACTTTACCCAAAAAGAATAACAGCAGGTTATATTACTATTTTAGTCATTTAAGGAAAAAGATGGCTGAGTTAGGCAATACTGCTATCTTAAAGACTTTAGAAAAGCATAAAACTTTCATTTACCACAGTTTTGTTCATCACTAAGGTCTCCACAGTCATCATATCCATCACAAACAAAGGTATAATTTAGGCATTTTCCTGTGTTGCAACGAAATGTATCATCACTGCAGTCTACAAAACAAATTTTTGTAAAGCATTAGCATGACATTGCAACATTCATATAAACTATGAATGCTGGAATGTATTGACTAAAACAAGATTAGCTAAAGGTACCCTACAATTTACAGGTCTGTATTAATACTCAATGCGTACCAGTTTATTAGAATCTAATATGGAAGAACAAGAAAATCAAAAGCAATTTTTAGACATTTTTATTCTGTTCCTACCAATTGCTGTTGATCAAAAAAGATCAATACCACAAGGAGAAAGTCCTCAGATTACACATGTGGACCAAAATGTTTAATTAATTCATATACATAAAGTTCTTGAGAAAGATTGTAGGTTTCATCAGCTAGATTACTAGGACAGTCCCGAGCACCTGATGTGGCTATTAGGTGGAGCTGAAGCTTCTAAGAGCAAAGTCAAGATCTCCAGACCCTGCTTTTGAGCCTGCCTTTGATCTTAAAATGGTTTCAAATGAGCTTTATGCTTTATGCAGTTTTGAGCTCAGAATTTGGCCTGACGCCGTCTCATCAAGGAATTCTTAGCACTGTCAGCCCTAAGTGGATATAGCCTTTCTTTCCATGGCTGAGGCCTTCAGTAAAGTAAAAAAAATTCTGAAAATATCTAAAATGCATCAATCATATCAATAAAAACATGGAATCTATGTTGTAGTTAGGAAACGAGGGAGAAGAGAAAATAGGGTTGTCAGTGTCTGCTCCTATTAGTAATAACTTTTGATTAAAAACTCAATTGGGAAGTGGGTGACCTAGTTTCACTGCCTTCCTCTAGGCTTTTTCTTCACATCTGCCTTTTCCAGGGAGAATACCAGGATATAGAACAGCTGAGTGGAAAATCCCTCCTTCCTGTTGAAGCTATGCCACTGGAACCAGGGAAGTTCTTTGTGCCCTTTCTTACTGGGATATGTGGGCATTTTAAATGAGCTCTTTCCTGGATAACACACAGAAAGAGCTCCAAGAGCTGGGACTGGAACACAAGTCTCTCCCCTCAGCTGAGATGCTCAACTGCTAAACAACAGATTCACGTTACCACTTGTTTCTCTCCTCTTGGCATCTGACTCCCATGTTGATGATTGTACAGTGGTCCCACTTTGAAAGAAGGGTGTCCTTCTAAGTATATTACACACTGAAAGGTGCGGCGCTCTCCCAGAAGGCGCAGTGGGGTTTCTATCCCTTCAGATCAATGTCAGCCAGATGTTCCACCTCCTCAGTGAGTGCTCTAACTTTAAGTTTCTCAGGATTTTACCAACCTCAACTCCAGAACTTGAACGTGAATCACTTCTTCCTCTTTCCCCACAGAAGTATTCATGTTTTCTACAAGTCTCATATTATCTTAAAAAATTTTAAACAGAATTTACAGCACTATGCGAAGGACAATGCTTCAGGGCATAGAGTAAAATAATATGGCTGAGGCATGAGCTTTGTAATAGTTAATTTAGCTTTAAAAGAACAAAAGGCATCAAACAGTAAACACCAAAAACCCTAAACTAAATGAAAATATTTAAGTTCTAGTTTCATGTAAGCAGAACAATAGCCAGCTGAGAGTAAAATTCTAAACATGACTTGCTTTGAGTATGCAACAGCGTGAAGTACTCTGGCAACCTTTATCCTTATTGATCAGTTTGTAATTCTGACAGTTTCTGTGCTTCCATTGCTCCTCATGCAAATGAAACAAAGCTGTCTTTTTCTATGTTGTTTCCCCTGGGTAAGTTTACTGTTTAATTTCCATCCATAACCCTATTCCTGTTTGCAGTCATACATCTGTAGCTGCAGCAGTGTCCTTTAGGGTATGGCAGCTCTCAGGCCCACAGAAACAGGGTAAACAAAAAGAATACAAACTTACTTGCAAGGAAATAAGATTCACTTGATGAAAATGTAACAGTCTTAATATACATTTTCTTCAAGACATTGGCAATAATATATAGTATAGGGTAGCTAGTTACTTCCATCAGAATAAGATGAGCACCTTGCAGCTGCCACTTCTAAAAGGCTCAGCTTAAATTTAGTCAATGATGGGACAAGCCCAGTTTTCATAAAATTAAATACAAATTCCTATTCTGATGATCAGCTGGAGCACCTCTCCTACAAGGACAGGCTGAGATAGTTGGGGTTGTTCAGTCTGGAGAAGAGAAGGGTCCGAGGACGCCTTATTGCAGCCTTCCAGTACCTAAAGGTGGCCTACAGCAAAGCTGGAGAGGGACTGTTGACAAGGGCATGTAGCTCACAGGCACTCATCCTTCTTGGAGACTTCAACCACCCTGACATCTGCTGGAAAAGTAGCACAGCAAGCTGTAGGCAATCAAAGAGACTACTGGAGAGCATTGAGGATAACTTCTCAAGCCAGGTAATAGACAGAAGGGATGTTATACTGGACCTGATGGTCACCAACACAAGTAAGCTCATCAGTGACATCAAGACTGGAGGCATCCTGGGCTGCAGTAATTATGCACTGGTGGAGTTCACAGTTCTGAGGGATATGGGACTGGCAAAGAGTAAAGTTAGGACCCTGAATTTTAGGAAAGCAAACTTGCAGCTGTTCAAGGAGTTAGTCAATAGAACCTCCTGGGAAACTTCTCTCAGGGACAAGGGAGCAGAACAGAGCTGGCAGATCTTTAAGGACGCTTTCCATAGAGCACAAGACCTCTCGATCCCCAGGTATGAGAAATCAGGAAAGGACAGCAAAGACACTGGCATGGCTGTGTCGAGACCTGCTGGTCAAACTAAAGGGCAAGAAGGAAATGCACAGGCAGCGGAAGCAGGGACAGGTATCCTGGCAAGAGTATAAGGACACTGCCTGGCTGTGTAAGGATGGAGTCAGGAAGGCCAAGACGCAGCTGGAACTGAACTTGGCAAGAGACGCAAAGAGAAGCCTAGTGGCTTCTATAGGTGTGTCAGCCAGAAAAGGAAGGTCAAAGAAAGTGTTCCCCTCCACCTCCTGAATACAACTGACAAACTGTTAACAATGGACAAGGAGAAGGCTGAGGTATTCAACAACTTTTTTGCCTCACTGGTGACCTCTCTTCCCACACCCCTCAAGTGGGTGGACCACAAGACAGGGACTGAGGGAGCAAACTCCCTCCCACTGTAAGAGAAGATCAGGTTCGTGACCACCTGAGGCAACCCCCAGTATCAATACAGGCTGGGGGATGAAGGGATACAGAGCAGCCCTGCCAAGAAGGACTTGGAGGTACTGGTGGATGAAAAGCTGGACATGAGCCAGCAATGTGCACTTGCAGCCCAGAAAGCCAACCATATCCTGGGCTGCATAAAAAGAAGCATGGCCAGCAGGTTGAAGGAGGTGATTCTGCCCCTCTATTCCACTCTCGTGACAACCTACCTAGAGTATTGTGTCCAGCTCTGGAGTCCTCAGCATGGGAAAGACACGGACCTGTTGGAGTGGGTCCAGAGAAGGGCCACAAAATCAGAGGGATGGAACAGCTCTACTATGAGGAAAGGCTGAGAGAGTTGGGGCTGTTCAGGCTGGCAAAGAAGCAGACTTTCAATACTTAAAGGGGGTTTATAAGAAAGATGGGGACAGACTTTTTACAAGGGCCTGTAGCGATAGGACAAGGGGTAATGGTTTTAAACTAAAAAAGGGTAGATTCAAACTACATATAAGGAAGGAATTTTTTACAATGGTGAAACACTGGAACAGGTTGCCCAGTGGTAGATGCCCCATCCCTGGCAACATTCAAGGTCAGGTTGGATGAGGCTCTGAGCAACCTGATCTAGCTGAAGATGTCCCTGCTCATTGCAGGGGTGTTGGACTTTTAAAGGTCCCTTCCAACCCAAATTATTCTATGAAGTGACTTAAGAATTTGAGAGGGGCAAGGACTGCAGGAAACACAGCATCTTTTATCAGACAAGCTTTCAGGCAAATAAGTCCTCCTTCGGTTTTGCTATCTGATGTGTAATTCAAGAAGGTCTTATTTGACCTACACCCCCTCTTCCCAACTCTTCCCAAGTATCCTAATAAAAGATATCCTCTGCCTATAAACCCTGTATCATTTAACAGACAGGCTTTCTTTTAAAGGTAATCTTAACTCTTTAAATTTATGCTTGTTTTTTCAAGACATGTAATACTGTTATTCTTATATTACTAATTTCTTCTTTTCCCATTTCTAATGAAACTTGAGAGCTGTAGACATTTTTAAATTTTTTAGCTTACTTTAAAAACTTGAGTTAACACTGACAGGAAAAATTCAAAGATAAAAACATATAATACTTTTTACATAACAGAAACTATGTCAACCTCCATTAAATAAACTGTAGGCCATTAAAGGAAAAGCAAGCTCTAGCCTCATTGAGACCAGGAGGAAATTGCAGCCATCATTTATTCCTTGGAGCATCCCGATAAAATCCATCAGCAACTTCCTTAAAAGCAGCTGAATGCTTAGGCTCATAAATCACTAATAAGAACAAATCTTTTGAGGTGAGTCTAAACTGCACAGTCTGGAACTCAACCCTAGGTCCGACATTTTCCAAAGTCTGAATGCACAGCACTGTTTTGTGGCATCATGTCCTACTTTAGTCCCTATTTAGTCATTGTTCCACATTTTCTTTTCTTCTTTCTTTTTCTTTTCCTTTTCATGGTTTTCCTACTGTAAATTTGCTCAGCTTTTCTAAAGGTGTTAGTAGTCCAAGGATGTTTTTGTCAACACAGAAAAAACACATAGGAGCTCTAAAGATACACGCTACCACAGATAAATAAATAAGAAATTAAGATATTAAGCATGTATATTCATTTTTCTTTTCTACTGCACCATATAGTGGGATTTATTTAAATAAACCACATCCAGGGTTGAGGCCAACAGAACTTCCATCTGCTGTAAAATCAATGCCAAGGACTAGGAAAAAGGTACAACTAACAGTCTTCAATTTGTTATCAGAAGTGCTCTTCTGATGCATGTTATCATGTTATCAATCCACTTGGAAACAAACAAAAAAAAAAAAAGCCCCCAAATACTTCTAATTTCCACATGGCTCCTTGCAGAAATCTTAGAATCTTATTCCAGACATAAAATTTAATAGATCAAAAGCACATGCTGTGGCCAGAGCGGGCAAAGGTGAACACGTTCAATGGCAACTGAAAGAGCCCAAATGTCAATATACACAAATACTATGCAAAGCTCCTATTCTGTGCCAATAGCCTTCTTTAGTTTTTAGGTTTCCCTGAATGGATTCAGTGCTTCAGTGGAACACTGCAAGGTTTAAGAAACTTACTGCAATGGACCTCATCACTCCAATCATCACAGTCATTGTAGCCATTACACTGCAGTTTCCCTGGGATGCAGATCCCACTGGCACACAAGAAACTGTCCTCTCCTCCGCACAGTGCTGGAAAAGAGAAGAAAAGAAAGAATGCATGTTAAACTTTTCAGGGTAAAATGAAATAAGCAGAAATGACAGATAGTTAGAATAATGAGTCTTAACTGATGCAATTAAGCAACAAACCCCAAATTAATCAAATTCAAGCAAATGCAAACTGGCATTTTCATCTAACTTTTCTTATTTCAAAAATAGGTATCTAGTGAGGTTCAATCTACCATTACCTTTAAAAAGCAGCTGTACAGAGTAACTGTTTAAAAAATGACCTTAGGATGTTATTAAACAACGTTTGTTTTTTTACCATTAAATAGATGCATCAGATTACATATCCAACTAAAGTTACAACAGATGGATATTCCCAGCCTAAGTTTCCAGGCAAAAGATTACTAGGCTGAAACTTAACAGTGTCATAGCAGACACCTTTCTAGAGGGGAAGGATTCCTCAAACATTCTTATAACTCCCTGAACACTAGAAGACAGTCATCATTGCTATTTGATAGATGGGGAATTGAGACACCTAAACACACACAAAAAAAAGACCCATGAGCTTTAGGTATCCCACTGGAGAAACCTTGCAGGGCCATTATGTTCAGAGGGAGGGAATTCATAACACCTTCCCATTCAAGTCCTTCAAGGTTCTTAAAATATAGAGATGCAGATCACCATTAATTTGTTTACACCTTAGTCCACGCAACAGAGACCAAACCTCCAAGTCTTTGCTTTAAAAAACATGGGCTGAGAAAAATCCCTGTAAAGCACACAGATGGGGAAAGATATCAAGTGGAAATTACATGGGGATGCAAAGTAAAGATGAAGTAGAAAAGCAAATATTCAGTACAGAATCTGGCTGTTGGTTTGTTTTGGGTTTTTTGTTTGGGTTTTTTTTTGCTTATTTTCCCAAAAGCCACAGTTAACAGGCTACTCAACATAGCTAAACAAAACAGAAAGTTTCACCTCCAGTAAAAGATCAGTAAAAAAACCCCAATAACTTTACTTTAAGCATACATATCTGAAATGATAAATAGCTTTCAGAGATGGAGATTAAAAATCCTGTCACCTTGCCAGTGTAAAGTTATCAAATGTATCCATGTGTGAGAACAGCAAGTTCAAACTATAAAATCTCATAGAAGTTCGAAATTCTACTCATAGAAATTCCATTGTAATTCAAACTTTGTATCCAAGTTTGCTGAGAACAATAAAGATCTCTAATTGTAGATTTCAAACTTTATTGCAATCCAAATCACAGGTATGAAAAAACATCAGTTTCAGCAGCAGCTATAGAATCTCTTCCTCTATTAAATTAATTTTGCACTTCATCACAACAAAGCTCCATACTTTTCATTTTAAAATGCCTAAACTTGTGGTTTTCCTCTTCCTATAGGAGAATTCAGTTCCTACTTCTTCTCCCTTTATTCTCTGAACCTGACACTTAACAAGGTCTGGAAAGTATATTTATAATCTACATCTCAAAATGCATATTGATTATTCTCATCATAACTTTGTATTCCTCATAACATGTCTACCAACAAGTATATTCATGCAGAATACAGTTTAAAATTAAGGAAAAATAACCAAATATCTAATGATATAATTTTTTAGAAGCATGAGCTTTTATGACCTTAGTTTGGCACTGCAGTAAATGATAGCACAAAAGTAACACACTACATAAATTTCAGATGAAGCTGTTAATAAATCAATGACTATGACGATGTTTGTGTCAACATTTTACTTGGTGCTGCACTCTGCAGAATTCCTAGTATATGGAATTATCCTTAACAGTGAAATATTAACCACAATGATGTGCTGATTAAGCACATGCTTGGGCAAACAAAAAGTGAGCTTAAGTGAAAGATCAGTCCTAAACTCACACCCTGCTAATGTCCCATTTAAACTCCTCTTTCTGGAGCCAACATTTCACTTACAAAAGGAGGGAAAGTTCTTTTTAATCTCTTCCAACAAAACAGTCTGTCGTGAAGTAACTCAGATCATACCAGTAATCTGCTATGAAGACATTTTACATGTCTTCAGAAGACTAGAAGTACTAAAATGAAACAAAATGGAAAGCAAAGTGGTGCTGATGAAATCTGGCAGTGTCTCACAAAGCATGCAGATACAATTTAAGTATATAAAAGATGAAAGGTAGAAAGAGATGAGAAATGTAAACTCATAAATATTGACTCTCCATGCTGCCACATCAATTTTTATCTGCTTTATTTGGTTGTTAAGTCATACTGTTTCTAAGAATTTCAGGAATTCATTATTTAGTGATGTATCTTTTCATTTTAATAAGTGTACCATAAAAGAAAACTTGATGGAACTTTTTTCTTAAAAGTCTCAAATACATGGCTTTTATCTTACAGTGCTCTACTTGCAGGGTAGCAAGTGTTATGCCTCTTTTTTTTCCACATGTGAAAAGCTGAAGGACAGGAGGCCCAAGCGATTTGTCCAATGACAAACAAGGAATCAGGTGAATAATTCAAACTGGTTTATAGAAGTGTATTGCTAAAAATCTAAACTTAAATGAGAAAGGGAAAAAAAAGTTATCTCCCTGTTCTGGCAAAGGAAGCCTCTTCTTGCAGCATGCTGGTCTTCACCACAGTCTCTTACCAGGAATTTTGGCTGTTTGTAGGAGACCAGTATCCTTCAGTCCTGCCGTTGCCTTCACTTTGGCAAGGGATAGTTTGTCAGTCTTCATGTAAATCTAATACCTTTCTCTCTGATCGCTCTCTCAAAGCACTTCCAATGATGACCAGGACCCTTTCTAGATGTAGGCCTGAGTTCTCCATGGTTTTGTACTATTCCTTAGTCGCATCAGTTTTGTTTTCACTACTGTCCTTAACCTGCAGCTACCAGGCACAACCTACAGCCTCGAATAGAGCTTTTGCCATTCTTTTGCATTCTTCAATCCACTGGGACAACCTGTCTGGTTGTGACTGTCAGAGCCATGAGTGCACCAATAGGCCTTGAATAGCCCTGACCAGCCTCACCTGGAGCCTCCACCCACAATCTGCCCATGGGCTCAACCCCCACCTGAGCATTGCTGTAGGCACAGCCTTATATTCAGCTCCAGCTCCTGGAAGGATCCCTCATATATACATCATAGCTGGTCTGCTGCCCTAACTTTGGCTCTGGTTCCTAGGTGGACTTGGAGCCACACTGGAGCCTTGTCACCAGTCCTGTCTGCAGTCCCACCTCCTGACTGGGCTCTCTGCAGCCTGGGCCCGGTTCTCACTTTGCCAATCTGAGGCCAGCTCTGCCTGATGCATTCAGGCTCTACATCTCAGCACTGCCTGACCTCAACTCCCAGCTTGGCCTGCCTGAAGGGAGCAGCCCCACTCTGGCTGCTCCCTGATGGTGACCTCAGATCCTTGGCTGTTGGGTTACAGCAGGCTGACTGCTCAGCCTGGTTCCTTGTGGTGCTTTATTTCTCTTAGTCTGATGCTACCTGGCAGTCAAAGACATATCTCAATTTCCAACAGCTGTTTGATGCCTCTGGCCAGCTGTATGAGAAAAATATTGTGATATTGACAGGCAGGTATTCCTTGTCCTCAGTTCTCCATTATTTTTTCAGTTATCCCAGATGCCACCTCTGCCTTTCCGTGACTTCACAGTACATATGGAAGACATCTTTCACTGCCAAAGTAGTGTGTCCATTGTCCCTGCACAGTGTATTAGGTATGCCACTATTTGCAAAGTAAGCATTCGCTTCCTTTAAAACTATGCTTTCCTGAGAACCCTCCAAATAACCCAACTCCTAGACATTAGAATAGTAATAACTGATTTGTTCCTTTAATTAAAAGTGAACAGTCATGTTTTGACTGTTAGAAGGGCTGATGTACATTTTCAGTAGAGTGTAAAATCACCTCCTGTTGCCAATATATTATGATTTTCACAGTTGCAAAGTATTATCTATTTCATAACTGCTCTTAAATCCGATGGAAATACCATTGCCTCGTTTTAAGGAAAATCCCACCTGCAAATACAGGTAATATTCCCTTACACAGTACACATCTCCATCATCCTTTTCCCTAATTTTTTTTCTTATTTTCTGATTTATAAAACATCCCCCATTATTTTGTGGTTGAGGGGCACACAGAAAATTTCTTTGAAAACTCATTACTTTCTTCTAGTAAAATTGAACTTCATGCCTTGTCTTATTAAATACCATAAACTTGACTTGATTTCTAATAGTGAAAAAACCAAGTGCTCGCAAAAAATCCGTATGTGACCTTATTTGTTAAAGATTATCTGATTTACAAGAGCTCTATGAAGAAACACCATAAAAAAAAAAAAAAGCCTAGGCAAGGCAAGATGTTCTTACAAGATAAGGAATCTTTTATGTGTTCCAGAGATACAGGTTGTCTTCCCAGTTCTGCTGCAAATTTTTGCATCAACTTGGACAATTCAGGCAATCTGTGCCTTAGCTCTATACCTATAAAAAGATGAAAAAACTTCTTGGGCTCTTTGAGACAAAAAATTATTAGCCTCAGAACTACAAAGTTAATGCTGCAGGAGTCTTATGAACTTATTTTCACACTGATGTATTGATATTCAAGATTTCCCACAGGGATTGAAATATATTTCCATTTTGGGAAACATCAGGATAGCTCTCAGAGGAACATCACTGAATGCCAGAAGGTCAAGAGGAAAACCTGAAAGATAAATCTCAACGGAAACAATACAGTTTTTGAGATAGAACAAAGCCATTTAAAACTGCTATCAGTGAGCGACCCATTTTAAAAGACCTCAAAAGGCAGTCATGAAAAGATTATTATACCTGTTAAATCTGCCCTTGGGACTAAAGGAGCCTTTAATGTGCCTACACAAAATACAGTAACTTCTGCTCACACTCAGCCTTTCTGTATAGCAACATGATATTATTTACAATTTGCCAAACCACTAGCTGCACAGTGGATGCTGTGATGTACCACTGAGCACTGGGCATGCCTAACATGCAGAGTGTGGTTTTGGAAAATGACAAATAGCTCCAGCTTGCACTGACTGCAAGT